ACAGGACCGAACCACTAAATACCCAATACTATATTCCTGCTAATGGCGCAGGCAGAATTTTATTCATAGCACATGGTCCGAAACCTGGATATGAATGGTAAAAACTGGAAGAAAATAAGAAGTGAAAATGCTGATACGGAGCATCGGAATTCGTATCACCGGATTCTGCGCGCCTTCCAGTCAGTGCGAATGCAATTCTATATAGTGCAGTATATTTTCTAAGTGAGTAGTTATGTGAGTAGTTCTATATGCTACGCGGAGTGGAGGAACTGGCAAGCAAACCTTTTGTGACAGAAAGTGATTATTGAAGAGCCAGTAACGAGATTCACAGTAGAAATGAGAAGTCCGTCACTATTGGAACAGCCGCTCATTTCTTGGAACCTGACGATTGACTTATTTCCACCACCTATCAGACCTATCAGGATTCAAAATCAATAGGATATCCACAAATTGATGATATGGTTAGGAATGTTGATACGTTCATGTTGATAGTTGATAATGTGCAACGGAGGGTCGTATCAATCGACAAAAGATGATAAGATGCCAGTGAATCTTAAGGCTAGCTCATTTTTCCATCATTTGCTTTGGTGGATCTACAGCAACTTTTTCTCAGGTAACTGTGTTTTGAGCTTCGTTCGGGCGGCAGGAACTGAGTGGCAAACAGCCCATATTGATGAGCATGTAGAGTGCTCTCAAAATCCCTGCCTAACAAGGCATTTTCCATGACTTTGGTGTAACATCCTCCACTTCTTTTCGACTAACCCTTTCCGGTGCTCACTTTTAGCAATAGCTTTGTTGTTCAAAAACTTACATTTCTGTAGAACTGAGACAAGAAAATGAACTTTCATACGGTGGGACCATAGGGATTCGAGGTTTTTGAGAACCGGTTTACCAATTGGGCAGAACCGATCAGATCTTATTTGATCCCTTCACCACCATCGCTTGAAGCCCCGATTATCGAGAACCGCGCGGCTCGGAATCTACAGACCGAGAACTTAACTTCCTTCTCAGCGTGGTACCCAATCTTTTAGTCCTAACACTACGAAGTAACCTTACATATCTGGCCTGCCGCCTCTAAAATCTTAGCTTCCCACACGTTTTTAATAATCAAATGGTTGCTTTACTTTCAGCATCGCACACTATCAGGAACAATGGAACAGCACTCACAGAGGGGTAGACCCAGGATATATTCCAGCGAAGAGTGAGCGCCTTCGAATCAGACGGCAGCGTGAAACGCCGCAAGAAAGGGTCGTTCGCCTTGAAACGGAGTCTGCGCGGCAGCAACAACGGACGAGAAAATGAGAATTGGGAAGAGCGGTCTTCCCGGTTGCAGGCGAACGCTCATAGGCAACAGCAGAGGCGCCAGCATGAAAGCTCCGAAGAGCGCATATTTCGACTCCAGGGGAATGCTCAGAGAGTGCGGCAGAGGCGCCAGCATGAAAGCTCCGAAGAGCGCATATTTCGACTCCAGGGGAATGCTCAGAGAGTGCGGCAGAGGCGCCAGGATGAGAACCCCGAGGAGCGCGCACTTCGGCTGCAGGGAAACGCTCGAAGGGAGCAACAGAGACGCAACTCGGAAGACGCTGCTCAAAGAGTCGGTAAATAGGACGCAGGAGACGTGATTTAGAAGGGGCTGACGACCGAGTAGTAAGGCTGGAGAACAACAGTCAGCTGCAAAGAAGAAGACGGCAAGCAAGAAACAATTGATGAGCGTGAGATAAGACTGCAAAGAAACGCCCGAGTCCAGCAGAGAAGACGCACATCTGGAAGTATAGACGAACGAGTGGCCAGATCGCAAGCGGAAGCCACGCGGCTATTGAGAAGGCGTGAATTGGAAAGTACCGAAGTTCGAGCTGCTCGGCTTCAAGAGGATGCTGAGAGACACAGGAGGCGTCGGAGTCTTGAAAACGAACATGACCGATCTGTTCGATTACAGTTAAATGCTTCAGCTACGCGTCGACGTCGAAGCAGACATACTGAATCCTCTGGAACCGCTCTGCACATGCGCGTAGCCGAAGCACATTACCTAGGGGAGCTCAATCAACGGTGTGTAGATTGCGGCGCGCTGCATTTTCTTTCCGAGGTGAAGGCCAATCATCCGGGCAAAGTTTCAAGAGTGCTGCGATCTAGGACGGTGCACCATGAATTTTTTCGAGAACTTCCCCGAAGAGCTGCGTCGGCTTTTCGTTCGTGAACCTGGACAGTCCGAAGAGTTACGGCGTAATCAGAAAAACTTTCTCGAGAACATCAGAAGTTTCAACTCAGCTTTAGCTATGGCCTCGATGGGCGCGCAAGTTGAAACTCCTCAGGGCCGTGGGACCTTATTGTTATAGGATTCATGGCCAGATTTACCACAGGCTAGGACCTCTTCATCCGAGAGAGGAGAGCCACGTCAATACGGGCAAATATACATCTTGGACACAGAACTAGCTGCACAGCAGCGTTTGGGAGTCGCAATGAATGCCGAGTGTGACCCTGACCTTATGCGATTCCTCAGTGGTCTACTATCCAGCGTCAATGTTATGCCCGATCTTTCAAAATGATGCACGAGGTGGAGCAAGCGGAACTTGCAATGGCAGCCCGCGAGAACCGTGCTCCACTTAGCATCCGCATGGTTTTCGAAGAGAGCTCCTGAAAGAGGATTAGCGCGGAGGCAATACGATCTTCCCACAGCAAATGAAGTTGCAGTGGTCTACGTTGGTGAGGACAACGATGTCCCTGCCCGCAGGAAGTCTTGCAGTCCATCTGCGGAAGCGAATCGAGTGAGCAGCTCATCAATATCCGTGACATTGATAAGGTCTGTGACCCTCTGACGTACCCGCTCCTATTTCCGACTGGCGAAGGTGGCTGGGAGCCCAGTCTGAGGAATACAGCTGGCGCACGCATCACCCAGAAGGACTACTACGCATATTTGTTTTCAGTTCGTGACGCCTTCAACCCGATCCTACATGCAGGGAAGCTGTGTCAGCAATTTGCGGTTGATGCATACGTGAAAATCGAGCAAAACCGTCTCAATTTTCAACGAAGAAACCAGCTATCGCTGCGCCGCGACTCCTACACAGGATTGCAAGATTATTTGGCGAGAGATGATATTTCCGGACCGCCTGGGAACCGAGTCGTGTTGTCATCATCGCATCTGGGCAGTCCGCGTGCAATGCAGCAGGCCTATCAGGACGCTATGGCGATTGTGGCACGCTACGGGAAACCAACCTATTTTCTCACGATGACATGTAACCCGCAGTGGAAGGAAATACGAGAAAACCTCTTCCAAGGCCAGACACCATCAGATCGTCCTGATTTGGTGGCACGTGTATTTCACGCAAAATTACAAGAACTTTGTGACGATCTTTTTCAAGAAACATGTCCTGGGAGAGGTGGAAGCATATGTACACGTCATCGAATTCCAAAAGCGTGGATTACCGCACTGCCATATGCTTCTTATTCATGAAAGAAGGTTGGAAAGTGCGCACGGCCGAAGACGTTGGATAAAGCCATCTGCGCTGAGATCCCAAGCAGAGAAACCGAACCTGAGCTTTATTCTGCGATAACATCGCATATGATCCATCGGCAATGTGGACCTATGGATCCACGTTCACCATGCATGCGTGGCGGCTCATGTTCTAAGAAATTTCCCAAGCAACTTCGTGATAGGACCTCTGTGGATGTTGACGGTTATCCTAATTATCGACGGCGTAACCTTTCACCAACTGAAATCAATGGGATTCCTTACAGCGATGAGTGGGTAGTTCCAACGAATCCTTATCTTCTTCTGAAGTATGATTGCCATGTCAACTTGGAAATTATGCGGTATGGTTTCGGCTGTGAAGTACCTTACAAATACATATATAAGGGTCCCGATCGTGCGCGTATCAGCCATTGAAAGTGAAGGAAACGTGGACGCAAACGAGAACGTCGATGAAATCAAGCAAGCATCTCAACACCCGCTACGTATGCGCCCCACAGAGCATCTATCGAATATTCGGCTACAACATGCAGGACAAGTCGCACACAGTGTACAGGCTAGCAGTACACCTGCCCGGGTTTCAAACAGTCCACTTTGTTCATGGTCGAGAGCAACAATATCTTGAGCAGGCCAGCGATCTTTTACAACCTGACAGCATTTTCTGAGCTGAACAGGCGATGTGAAGCAGATTTTCGAAAACGGTCCGTCCACTGATTTCACAGTCGATGCTCGAAATCTCTACTACTATCAACTACCAGAAGCATTTCACCTTTGACGCTCGACGTGGATGGATGCCGAGGAGGCGTGGAGGAAAACAAATCGGTAGGATGTTCACAGTCTCACCTTTAGAGACAGAGCGATATTGCCTGCGAATACTCCTGCTCAACTGTAAAGGGAAAACATCCTTCGAAGACATGCGAACAAGTCGACGGCAGAACCTACGAGTCTTTCGCTGATGCAGCGAAAGCTGCTGGGTTTCTGGACGACGATAGGTATTTTCGGCAGAGTTTGCAGGAAGCAGCTCATTACCAGTCTGCAGCAACGATGAGGAGTTTCTTTGCCTGTCTCCTGTGCTTTTGTGAAGGTACTACAGGCTCAAGATTTGTGGGATGAGTTTGCTGATATGATGTCGGATGATTACATACGACAGGGATTTGATCCGGAACATGCTATCGCTTTTGCGTATTTTGACGTCTTCAATCGGGTTGCTATGATGGGCAAAAATCTAAGGCAAATCCTAACTCCGCCCACCGCAGAACGCCCATCTGCACCAACAATGGTCGATTACACAGCTTATGAGAGAATTGGATGGAGCCAGTACGAAACACTCAACACTAAACAGAAGGAAGCTGCCGACGATATTCTTGGTGCGTTGGAAAGATCTCAGAACAGATACATCTTTATTGATGGTCCCGGCGGCAGTGGCAAGACGTATTTATACAGCACCATTTATAACATTGCTGTTGGGATGCGGCGGAAAGTTTTATGTGTGGCTTGGACCGGCATTGCAGCTAACCTGCTCCCGGGAGGACGAACTGTCAACTCAGTGTTCAAGTTAAATATCGGTGACGGTAACCGAACCTCTTCAATGAGACGACAACAACGAGAAGCTGAGCAGCTCATGGAGACGGATATGATAATATGGGATGAAATCTCCATGGCCCCGAAGGCAGCTCTTGAAGCGGTTGATGCACTCCTGAGAGATGTGATGCAGTGGACGCGCCTTTTGGAGGTAAAGTCATGGTGATTGGCGGTGACTTCCGACAGATCTTACCTGTTGTTGAACACGGCCAGAGAGAGGACATTGTCGAGTCCTGTGTTATGAAATCATTTCTATGGCCGTTATTCCGCGTTCACAGGCTTGAAGTGAACATGAGAGCGCAGGAAGCTGGCAATGATTGGAGAGAACGCCTTATGGAAATCGGTAATGGAGAGGCGAATGACGAAGATGGACGCACAGCCATCCCACAAGAGATGATTTGTACAACGGATATTGTTACTGAAATCTTTGGTGATACTATCGACCCGTCAACTACTTCTAATCTCTGCGACAATGCTATACTGGCACCGAAAAATGTGCACGTTCACCGCTTGAACGACGACGCACTTCAACGTCTCAGCATCAGCGCACCAGAAGATGAGCGTATTCTACAAGAGCGTTCGATGAAGCCATTTATCCGGAGGGGCAGCCACGACAGCTGTTTCAGTTGGAGTACTTGAATTCCCTCACTCCAACAGGCATGCCCCCACATGAGCTACATTTGAAAAAAGGGGCAATAGTAATGCTGCTAAGAAACTTGGACGTAGAAAACGGACTGTGCAACGGAACACGTCTCAAGGTTGAAACACTCGGACGCTTCACGTTAGCTTGCAGATTTATTTGTGGTGAACGAAGGAACCAGTTAGCTATAATTCCCAGGATAGACAACTACTGGGACCAAAAAGCTCCTTTCAAGCTTCGTCGTCGGCAGTTCCCTGTGCGAGTAGCTTTCGCGATGACAATCAATAAAGCTCAGGGACAGTCATTCAACAAAGTTGGCGTGTTTCTTCCAGAAGATGTTTTTTCCCACGGTCAACTCTACGTTGCACTCTCCCGCGCAAGAACGCCTGATGGAATCAAAGTAGAGTCTGCTTCGAATTGCTTGAGAAATATAGTCTACGATGAAGTTCTACTGCGATGATTCTAATTCAGCACTCCGGAAGGTGAGAAAGAAAGCAAGTTGAAGTTTTCTGTCTCTTCTTCACTTTTTTCATGCCACCCTTATGTCAGGTGAATCGAGAGAAAAAGAGTGCTATCATTTCATGTACACCACTTTCTTCTTAAAAAACACATTCTACCTTGCGAAAAGAATTGACATCCTAAATGGTACGCCAGCTTTCTCTGGAGATTTGACAGTTGACTTTTGAAATCTCTAAGATTAAATTTTGAAGAAATCTGGAAGAATGCATCAGGACCAGAAAATCAAGTTCATGTATCAGTTGTCATCATTCGCAAGGGAAACAAGTTCACTGGATCTTCTTTTACTGATTCTTATATCCCACTTTTTTCTTAGACTTTTCTTTGAATTTTTCACGCGATTCTCAATAAATTTCTGTTTATCTG